GTAGATAGAGCTCATGCCCATAGTCAGGAGGACCCAAGTTCAAATCCGGACTCAGAAACTTGACACTTACTAGCTGTGTGATCCTGGGCAAGTCATTTAACCCCCGATTGCCTCACCAAAAAAGAAAAAAAAAAGGACTGAATGTCCTTTCTTTGGGTGCTAAAGTAGAATTGGGGCAGCTAGATAGGGCAGTGGATAGAGCACCAGTCCTAGAGTCAGGAAGACCAGGGTTCAAGTCTGGCCTCAGACACATAACACTCATTAGCTGTGTGACTCTGGGCAAGTCACTTAAATTGTCTTACCAAAAAAAAAAAAAAAAATCAAGAATACCATGTGTGTTTTAGGTCAAAAACTTCAGCAAAAAAGTTGAGTCCTTCTACCATTTTAATTTATTTAACCCTTGACCAAATGATGTTCTAACACTTCATACTGAATTAATTTGAAGACTCAAAGTGGATCACATTATAAAGCTGAGCAAAAATTGGGTTTTACTGCCAAAAAAAAAAAACCACCAAAAAAAAAACCCTAGGTGGAAACATTAAAAAGTTAAGACTGTCACAATAAATTCTAAATGAATATGACCTTAATATTAAAGATCATTCTACTAAAAAATTAGAAGAGAAGCAGATCATATACCACTCACAGCTATGGGTAGAAGATATATTCTTAACCAAACAAGGGACAGAGGTAATTACCTAAGATAAAATAGATAACTTTGATCATATGAAACTGAAAAGCTTCTGCACTGACAAAATTAAAGCGCTGAAGATAAGAACGGTAACAGTAGAAGGGGAGGGGAGGCAAAACTTTGTATCAAATTTCTCTGGTAAGGCTTTGGTATCCAATACATTATATAAACAATTAACAGTTCTATCTATGTCTCTAGATATAGCTATACAAAAGACCAAAAGCCATTCCTCAATAGAAAAGTGGACAAAGGATAGTAAGTTCTCAAAAAGAAAAACTAAAATATTGACAACTACATAAAAGAATGCCCCAAACAAATAATAACAAAAGAAATGCAAATCAAAATACCACCAAGGATTTACCTCATACTCTGCAAATTGGCAAAGATGACAAAAGATGTGAGGAGTCAGTGTTATGTATGAAGATAGCCATACTGATACACTGCTGGCAGAGCTATGAATCTGTAAAAATATTCTGAAAAGCTTGGAATTATGCAAATGAAGTAACTAAAATGTCCACATCCTTTGACTCAGAGATTTTATTATTATGCTTATCCCCCAAGGAAGCCACTGATCAGAAGAAAAGTTCCCCTATACACTAAAATATTTATAGCAGCACTTTTTGTTGGTAGCAAAGAACTGGAAACAAACATGCACATCAAGGAATGACTAAAATTGTGGTAAATGAATGTTATTGTGCTATTAAAAAAAATGATAAATGTGATGCATACAGAGATGAAAATCTTTACATGATCTGACGCAAAATGAAATAGAACCAAAAAAAAATTATGCAGATGACAACAATGTCAATGCTAAGAACTACCATACATACAATAATCAAAAGTAAATGAAGCTCATTAATACTTTCAAATGCTTTACAAACAAAACTAGGGTGAGAGTGGAGTGCAGTCTAGTGCAGACCTCGCCAATGCAGGCTGTGCCCAACCAAGCCAGCAGCATGCCTTGGGGGCAACTGAAACGATAGCGCCTTCCAGAGATCTCGGCTCACCAACAGTAAGGGGGCAGGAAAACTGACCAGAAAGAAATTACAGGGGATCCTGTGCTGGCACTGAGAGACGAACATTAGCAGAAGCAGGGACCCTCTTCACAGTTCCAGGACAGAAGAGAATACTTGGAGTCTCTCACAAACCAGAGCACAGGCCAGGAGAGCAACGACCACACCTCTCCTTAGATCATGCCACCTTAGAAGAACTAAAAACTTATATTCCCCCCAGAACTAGCTCTGAAAATAGCAGCATGAAAAACCTGAAGCTTGAGACAGCTTGAACAAAAGTTAAAAGTCAAGAAATAGGCAGGAAAAATGAGCAAACAACAAAAAGAGAATTTGACAATAGAAAGTTACTATGGTGACAGGGAAGATCAAAACACAAACTCAGAGGAAAACAAAATCAAAGCAACTACAGCAAAGTCTCAAAGAAAAATGTGAATTGACCTCAGGCCCTGGAAAAACTAAAAAATAATTTTAAAAATCAAAATATCAATAAATCAATAAAATCAATAAAAATCAAATAAGAGGTAGAAGAAAAAGTGGGAAAAGAAGTGAGAGTGATGCAAGAAAATCATGAACAACTTAAAAAACAAAATAGGCCAAATGACATAAGAGGCACAAAAATAAGATGAAAAGAAGAACTGAAAAGCAGAACTAGCCAAATGGAAAAAGAGGTACAAAAGGTCAATGAAGAAAATAAATGGGAGCAGCTAGGAGGTACGGTGGATAGAGCTCCAGCCTTGGAGACAGGAGGACCTGAATTCAAACCCAGCCTCTGACACTTGACACTTACTAGTTGTGTGACCCTGGGCAAGTCACTCAACCCTGATTGCTTCACCCAAAAAAAAAAAAAAAGAAAAAAAAAGAAAGAAAATAATTGCTTAAAAATCAGGACTGGGCAAGTGGAATTCCATGAGACACTAAGAAACAATAAATAAAATCAAAAGAACAAAAAATAGAAGAAAATGTGAAATATTTCATTCCAAAAACAATTGACTTAGATTGAGAGATAACAGAAATTATTGGACTACCTAAAAGCAATGATCAAAAAGAATCTAGACATAATATTTCAAGAAATTATCAAGGAAAATCTGCCCTGATATACTAGAACAAGAATGTAAAATACTGAAAGATTTTCAAAGCATTCCTGGTGAAAAGACCCGAGCTGAATGGAAAATTTTACTTTCAAATACAAGATTCAAGAGAAGCATAAAAAGGCAAACAGGAAAGAGAATAATAAGGGATTCAATAAGGTTAAACTGCTTATACTCCTAAATAGGAAGAGGATACTTTTAAATCCTAAGAACTTTATCATTATTAGAGCAGTTAGAAGTATACATAGAGGACACAGGTGTGAGTTGACAATGATGGGATGTTATCCAAAAAAATAAAGTATGCAGTAGAAGGGGGAAGGGAGAGGTAGAATGGGGTAAATTATCTCACATAAAAAAGGCACGAAAGAGCTTTTGCAATGCAGATGAAAATGGGCTGGGGGGTGGTGGTGTTGGGAGTGGTAAGCAATGCTTCGAACTTACTTTCATCTGAATTGGCTCAAAGAGGGACTAACATACACATTCAGTTGGGTACAGAAATCTATCTTATCCTACAGGGAAGTAGGAAGGGAGGGTGACAAGAAAAGTGAATGGGAAGGCAGTCATCAGAAGCAAAACACTTTTGAGAAGAGAAAGAATGAAAGGGGAGGAAGGGAGGAAGGGAGGGAGGCATGGAGGAGGAGGGAGGGAGGGGGAGAGGGGGAGAGTGAGAGAGAGAGAGAGAGAGAGAGAGAGAAAAGGCTAAACAGGGAGAAATTACATTAAATTAAAAGGGATTGCACAAACAAAACCAATGCAGTCAAGTTTAGAAGGAAAGCAGAAAACTGGGAAACATGTTTACAGCAAGCTTTTCTGATAAAAGCCTTTTTACTCAAATATATAAAGAACTGAATCAAATTGATAAGAATGAAAGTCATTCCCCAACTGATAAATGGTCAAAGGATTTGAACAAAGTTTTCAGTCAAAGAAATCAAAGCTATCTACTTACATGAAAAAATGCTCCCAATAACTACTGATTAGAGAAACGCAAATTAAAACAACTCTGAGGTACTACCTCACACCTAACACATTGGCTAATATGACAGAAAAGAAAAATGACAAATGTTATAGAGGATGTGGGAAAACTGGGACACTGATTGTTGCGATACTATTGTGAACTTATTCAGCCTTCTAGAGAGCAACTTGGAACTATGCCTAAAAGGCTATAAAACTGTGCATACCCTTTGACCCAGCAATAGCACTGCTAGGTCTGTATCCCAAAGAGATCCAAAAAGAGGACCTATTGTCTTATGTCATGTCAAACTCTGTGACCCCATCTGGAATTTTTTTGGCAAAGATACTGGAGTGGTTTACCATTTCCTTCTCCAGCTCATTTTACAGATGAAGATACTAAGGCAAACAGGATTAAAGGACTTGCCTAGAGTTACACAGTCAATAAGTATCTGAGCCCAGAACAGAACTTCCTGACTTAAGGCCCAACATTCTATCCACTGCACCGTCTACTTACTCACAAAAATATTTATAGCAGCTATTTCAGTTGTGTCAAAGGATTGGAGATCAGGATGCCCAGCAATTGGGGAATGGCCAAACAAGTTGTGATATACGATTATGATGAAATACCATTATGCTATAAGAAATGACCAACAGGATACTTTCAGAAAAACCTGGAAAGACTTACATGAACTGATGCAAAGTGAAGTGAGTAGAACGAGGAGAACAATGTAGACAGTAACAGCAATACTGTATGATGACCAACTGTGAATGATTTAGCTATTCTCAGAAATACAATGATCTAAGATAAGAATCTAACATTCTGAAGGATTCATGATGAAAAATGCTATCCACTTCCAGAAAGAACTGATGGAGTCTGAATGCAGATCAAAGCATACTTTTTTTAACTTTATTTTCTTTTTGGAGGGGGGAGGGTGTATCTGTGTTTTCTTTCACAACGTGACTAAGAATAGAAATTATTGCATGCCTGCACATGCACAACCTATATCAAATTGCTTGCCTTCTCAGGGCAGGGTTGGAAGAGAGAATATGGAACTCAAAATTTTAAAAAACATATGTTAAATATTTTTACATGTGAGTGGAAAAAAAAAATATATATATATATAAAAGATTTGTGAAAGCTTTGAAGAAATCAAAGATCCTTTAGGGATTTGACTATCTGTAATAAAACCCTATTCAAGGAGAAGAATATACACACCAAATATTACATCATTATAAAGTACAGCAGAGTTTCTCAAATGATTTCCAGGTCCATGCTTCCAAGTTTATTGAAATTTTTAAGGCAAGACATAATTTCAAATATCTAGACCTGAGTCATGCGCTTGATAGAGAATGGATACTTTCTGAAATTTCAAGATCAGATACTACTGTTTCAATCTTAGAATGTTCTGATGTTTTGTTTTTACTTTTATCTGTCTTGGATATTACTGTCATATCTCCTGTCTCTTTCCTAGCAAGACTGTATCTTTTTGAAGCCAGATGTTTGAATTTTTCATGAGCCAAAGGGGTATGCTCCCCATGTCTTTTGCTTTTCTGGCTTAGGCTCTCAGAGGAGGAATGAGAACAACTTTCGGACTGTTTCTTTGAAGAGTGTTTTGAGGTATGTTCACTCATTCTGGCACTTGTCTCTGAGGAATTTCTACTATTTCTGGAAGACTCCTCTTCTTTTCTTTCATTTTGAGCTTCAACAACAACATTTGCTAAAAATGATAATGATGGTGCAGGGACAAATTCTTTAGGAGGAACCTGTTGATGATCAGAGCCCTTGATTTCACGAACTTCTTTGGAAGAAGATAAGGCCTCCTGAGTAGAAACTGGAAACTGGAAGGTGTCAAGAGGCAAAGAAGTTCTAATATCGCCACTAACTTTCTGAAACTGAAAAGTATAATTCAAATTAGTCAAAAGCACTTAACAATAATAGTCAGAAATTTCTACTGGCTACTATGACTTTATTAATAAACATTAAAGACATTTAAAATTCAATTGCTGATTACACACAAAGTTCTGGGGGTCACTTCTCCTACTGGGGGCCTAGGTCCTGAGAAATTTCAACAATTACTCAGCTATGTCTAAGAGCATTTCCCATTGTCTTCCAAGTCTCAAGAACATGGAGGGCAGATGAAAACTTAAAAACAAGTTATCAGGTTCCAAACTAATAAACAGGGTGTGCGTCAAAAGGGGCCTACAACAGGGAGGGAAGACAAAGCAGGGGGCCAGCGAAAGGAAGTCCCTATGGGTCACCTCCCTGTAGATTTTGATACATAGAAAACCAAAGCCATTTTGATACACAGAAAACCAAGTCAGTGAGTGCTCATTTCAAAAAACTGCCTGTGTTCTCTTACTAATCTGGATAACTAAAAACTGACTCTCAATCTTTTCCCCTAGAAATACATATCTACACATATATTTACTTATATAAGAACCTTTAAAAAAAAACCCAATGCCTTTTTGACCTATGATCATTCATTCATAGTACCTAACTTGTATTACTGTGCTTTTTATTTTGATTTCTCATTTTGTGCCTTCCTGAAAAAGTTTGTTTATACCAGTATATGTCAAACTGTCAAAAGGCTAGAGTTTCTTATGTTAAAATATCACTTTCTTATTTTGTTAAATCTATAAAGTACCTATATACTAATCATTGATCTGTAAAGAATCTTAAGAGGTCAAGTGGCTTAGTTCTTCTAAGCATGTCAAAGTCTCAATCATCCTAGATAAAGTCCATGTGTATTTCATCTTCAAAAACTTCTGTAGACACAGAATCCATTGGCAACCTAAGCCAATGCTTATTAACCTATTGTTTTAGATCAAACTAAACTACTACTACTATTTAAACCCATTTCTGTTTTTTTTCTTTATAAAGAACTGAATTATTTAGCATTTTCCTCACAATAAAACTCTTCTTAAACCAGTAGTACAGTAGAAAGAGCACTAGTCTAGGCATCATCTGGATTCCAGTTCAGGTGATACTAGCTGCTATCTAACTCTGGAGGTGCATCTAGGTGGCACAATAGATGCAGTGCTGAGCCTGGAGTCAGAAAGACTCAGTTTTCTGGGTTCAAATCTGGCATATGTTGTGAGAAACAAGCAAAACAATATATAAAAGAAGCTTATAAATATAAAGCATTATATTAAATTTCATGTTTTCTAGCTCTAAGATCCTAGGCTCCTCAACTTATACATCATGCTCTATTCCCCGTATCCAATCAGTTCCTAAATCTTTGTTTCTCATTTCTACTTATATGATCATTGAAACTTATCTCTTGTACACACCCTTCTTTTTTCTCACCCTCTTTTCTCTTTTCTGCCATCACCCTGGTCCTCCCTTATTACCACACACACACACACACTCACACACACACACACACACACGGACTACTGCAACAGTTTGCTAGCTGGTCTCCCTGCCTCAAGACTCTTCTACTCCTGTTCATCCTCCACATCAGTTATCAAAATGATCTTACTAAGTTGCAAATCTGCTGAGGTCACTCCCTATTGAATCAACTCCAATGGCTCCCTATTGCATCCAGGATCAAATACAAAATCCTGTTTGGTTTTTAAAGCCCTCCATAACCTTTTCACTATTCTAGTCTTCTCATATTTAACACCTCTCTTCTCCCCACTCTGCCCCACCCCACCCCCACCCCCACCCCAGGAGACTCAGTGACCTTGGCTTCTTTACTATTCCTTGCATAAGATTCCATCTCTCAACTCTGAGTATTTTCACTGGGTGTCCCCTACTCCTGGAATTGTCTCCCTTCTCATTTACATCTTCTTCTTATCTTCATCAACTTTATTCACGTCTCCACTAAATTCCAATCTTATACCTTTTCCAGCCCTCTTTATATTAGTATCAGTGCCTTCCCTTGGATAACTCCCATTCACTCTGTATCTTGTTTGTACATACTAGCTTGTATGTTGTCTCCTTCACTAGGTAAACTCCTCGACAGCAGGTGTTGTTTTTTGTCTTTGTTCACCTCCCCAGAGCTTAGCACAGTGTATGGCACATGGTAGGCACCTAAAAATGTTTGTTGACTTGTCGACTAGGCATACTAGTAAATATTAACACATTAATTTACAGTCTGATCATATAAATCATTATTTTATTACTGTTGTTCAGATGTTTTCAGGATTTTCTTGGCAAAGATACTGGAATAGTTTACCATTTCCTTCTCATTCTACAGATGAGGAAACTGAGGTAAACAGGGTTAAGTGACTTGTCCAGGGCTGCAAAGCTAATAAGCATCTGAAGCCAGATTTAAACGCAAGAAGATGAGTCCTGCTGACTTCTAACCCAGCACTCTATCCATTGTGTCACCTAGCTTTCCAATTATATTATAGTCTAATACATATTAAATAAAAATAACATGAAGAAATGAATAATGGATAATAATATAATTTTAATAATATTTACTTATAATACACTAAAATAAACTCAACACTAAGGCAGCACTTGCAAGGTTAAATCATGAACCTACTGTTACTGAACAGATCTTCTCAACAATATCTTAAATGATGAAATCAAGAGATTCTTTGTTATATTAGGTAGAATGATAGCAAAATGAAATAGAGAAAAGGTATAGTTTGAAGGTGGTGTGCCTGCTCCTCGTACATCGTCACTTACTTGCATGCTATGCATTTGTCCTAGGGTATTCTGATTAAGTTCTGGTCTTTCTTCAAGTCCCTTTTTATCTTCTATAAGTATAGCATTAATTGTAGAGTTCATCTGGGGATGATCTAGGAAATCAAAATCCGACTGATTTATACCAGCGACTGTGGCAAGCTGCCCAAGTCTACAAGAAAGATTGGGTGAAGAGAAGAATCAATAGTTATTATAGATTCATATAAATGTCTCAGATCAGAGCAAAGAAATTGACTAAAATGGAGTCACATATTTGGTCTCAAAATGGGATCCTTTTCCCACCTAATTCACCATAAGTTATCTTCTTGTATGTTCTTGGATTTGTGTTCAAATTTTGAGAATAATCTCCTAATAAACTACTGTTGAATAGCTATCACTTTTATTTGCTATACCTTGATCTCATACCTGTCTGTTACTGCTTTCATAGGATTATTTTTGCATGAATGTGCTTTCTACCTAACCCCTTAGAAATATAAATTCACCATTGTTTATTTATTTTTCAGTGTAATCCAATATGATTTTCAATTTGATGGAGCTTTACAAATACCAGTGGAGAAAACAGTTTATTATATTTGCAAATAGTGGAATACTGAACCTTCTTTAAACAAGTGATAAAAATTACAAAAACTAAAGTTAAGCCAAGGAAAGAAATAGCATGTAACCTACCCAGCATCTTTAAGGAGATCCAAAAAGGCGTGGAACTTTTGAAAAGATGTCTCAATACTGCCCAAAACACCATCATCTTCCAAAATCATGGTTGCCAGTGACTGTGCATGAAGAGCCTCAGATAGAGAGAAATTTATATTTCGCAACTGGGAATTTTCAAGTTCCAGCTAGGAAAGAATATAATTGCCATTCTTTGTAAACAAGAAACAAAGTTTAAATGAAAAAAGGACTAAGAAACTTGTAGTTGTATTCCATCAAGCCCCACTGTGAAAACAGATACCATTTCCCATAATCTTGGATTAATAGTACAAAAACTCAGATTCATTTTTTATTTATTAAATCCTTCTTTCTAACACAAAAAGGGTTCATCTCTCTCAGAGTAGTAAGGGAGCTCCCGGTAAAACCACTCCTACCAACAGCTATCATAAACTGCTTTGCAGTAGTTTCAGGGAGCTATCTGGGCACTGAGAGGTCAAGTGACTTGCCTGTTGTCAGGAAGTCAGTATATGTCAGAAGTGAGACTTGAACCTACATCTTCCTGACTCTGAGGCCAAGTCCCATGCTACCTCTTCTAAGTGATTATACAGACAACTTGTGATTCTGTAAGTCTAAATGATTACATAACAACAACAAAAAAAAGTCACAATGATTGGTTCAATTCATACCAGGTTTCCAGAAAATGCTTTACTTTGTTAGAAAAATGGCTAAAACATTCTGTCAATTAGGAAATAAAATTAAAAGTCTGATTTCCGGAAAAATATACAGAAGTTCAAACTAACACAAGAAGCTGAGGGAAAAACAAGTATGGCGTTCATTTGTGTTTCTAAAATATCCTTACAGGTAACCACTGGATTAATTCCTAAAGCTTCACTCTGTAGCTTGTTGAATTCAATGACAACTTTTTGGCCCTGTCTTCGAGGTTCTCCATCAGCCTGCCAATGCTGCCACCGATACACTATGCAGCTCCTTCCTCCATGCTCTTCTACCAGATTTCTGAGTTCATTCTTCCATCTATGCCCTTGCTCATGTTACCTTTTCTGCTTTGATTCTGGATTCTGTAGGTACTTTATAAACTGTATCTGCTAAATGAATGCCATTCAATGGCTTCCCACAAGGTCAAGATATACCGTCAAAAAGCCACTCTTAATCCTGAGGCACCTGAGTCACTCTATTGCTTTGTGTTTCCTCTGGCACATAAATACCATCTCCTCTTTATTATTTTTGACTTGCTTTAATACTCTAAGTAGTCCCACGTCTTCCTATGCAAATTGCAAGCACCTCAAGATTGCTTATGTCTTAAATTTCTTTTGCACCTTCTATGATTCTCCATATTACTGTACACCAAATTGGTGCTTAATGAGTGAACAAAACCAAAGAAAATACAGAAATAACTAAGCCTTTTACTCTTATATTTTAGACTAAATAATGGAATACGTACATGAATGCAACATTAATGTTAACAGAGAGTGAACAATTTTCAAATGCACCTTTTAATTTAAACTTCATTCTAAAGCCTAAATATCTTAGCTCAAATATGTCACAAAAACACAAATTAATTTTAGTTTTACCTCAGTTACTCGTTTGTCAGCCTTGACTCTCATAATTCTTTCTGCTTTTAATTGCTCTATGCACTCTTCCAACTTCTCCTGCGGAAAACCAGCAAAATTATTACTTTAAAAAGAGCTAAAAAAGGTGGAAAGTCTTAGTCACAGACTCTCTGGGCCTCAACCTTCTTCATCCAAAATATCTTTAAGGTTTCAATCAGCTCTAAAAATAGAATTTTAAAGTGAAAGGTATCTTATAGGTCACCTAGTTGAATCTGCTAATTTAAAGACAAACTCATGTTCAGAAAAATTAAGTTTTTTTAAGCAGATTACACAAGTCTACTTTTTTTCCAGCCACTATGCTAAATACTGGAGATACAAAAAGGAGGGAAAAGACAGTACCTGCCTTCAAGGAACTTTCAATATATTGGGAGAGAAAAAATGCAAACAAATAAATACAAAACAAGCTATGCATGGGATAAATACGAAATAATAATAATAAAAAAAAGATCTTGAAATTAAGAGGGGTTGGGGACAGCTTTCTGTAGGTATGATTTTAGTTGGGTCTTAAAAGAAGTCACAGAAGTCAGTTACTGAAGCAGAGGAGGGAGAGCATTCCAAGAATGGTAGACAAAAGATAATAGCTATAGCCAAGAGATGGAGAGTATTGAACAGCCAGGAGGTCAATGTCACTGAATGAAAGAGGACATGTCGGGGAATAAGTGGAAAAAAGACTAGAAAGGTAGGAAGGGGCTCAGTTATAAATGGTTCTGAATGCCAAATAGAGGATTTTGTATTAGCTCTTGGAGGCAATAGGAGACCACTAGAATTTATTGAGGGGGGTGTGTGTGAGAGAGAGACATGATTGGCCCTACATTTTACGCAAATCTCTTTACTGGCTGAGTGGGAAGAGACTTGAAGCAGCAGACCCACAGGCAGATCACTGCAATAATCCAGGTGTGAGGCGAAGACAGCCTGCATAGAGCAGTGTCAGAGGAAGAGAGGCATATTCAAGAAATGCTGCAAAGATACAATCAACAGGCCTCAGCAACAGATTGGATATGGAGGGTGTGGGGAAGGTGAGAGATAATGAGGAATTCAGGGTAATTTCTAGGTTGTAAGCCTGAGGAACCAGGATGGTATTGCCCTCTACAGTAATTGGGAAGGTGTCTGTGTTGCCGGGGGGGGGGGGGGGGGGGAGATTAGGGGAAAGATAATGAGTTGTTTTGGATATACTGAGTTTAAGACTCAGTTTACTAGACATCCAGGTTGAGAGGTCTAAAAGGCTGTTGGAGATAAGATTGGAAGTCAGCAGGGGTAGATAGATTTGAGAATCGTTAGCATACTATTAATTAAATAAATGTGTTACATGAATGTAATGCAATTTTGTTGTGCTGTAATTAAATCTATGTGAGCTTATGAGATCATCAAGTGAAGTAGTATAAAGAGAAGAGAGAAAAGGGCCCAGTACAGAACCCTGAGGGTATACTTAGGGCATGTTCTGGAGGAGGATCCAATAAAGGAGACAGGTAAGGGGTATCTGATAGGTTAAGTGGAAAACCAGGAGAAAGTATGTCCTGAAAACCTAGAGAAAAGGGAGTATCAAGGAGGAAAGAGTGGTCAACAGTGTCAAAGGCTGCAGAGCAGTGAAGGAGAAGATCAAGAAAAGGCCGCTGGATTTGGTAATTAAATGATAACTTTGGAGAGAGCAGTTTTGGTGTAATGATAAAGTTAGAGGCCAGATTCTAAGAGGTGAAGAAAAGCAAGAAGAGGGAAAAAAGAAGCATTTACTATTAGCTCCAAAAGGCAGAAGAAAAATAGCACCATAGCTAGTAGGGATGGAAGGATCAAATTAGGGTTGTTGTTTTTTTTCTCCAAGACAGGGGAGACATGAGCATATTTGTAGGTAAGAGGAATGAGGTAGTACGGAGAGAGGGAGATTGAAAATAAGTGAAAGAGTGAGGATGACAGAGGAGGCAATGTGGTGGAGAAGGGATGGAATGGGATTATTTGAACAAGTAGAAGAGTTTTTAGCCTTGGAAGGCCACTTCATCAAGTGAGACAGGGTGAGGAAGGAAAGAATAGCAGAAGGCATCTGAATGATAGGAGATGAGGAAGAGTGAAGAGGGAGTTCTCAGTTGTTGTCTGTATTATTACAAGTGGTGCTATTTTGGTGGGAGAAATTCTGTTGTACTTTTCAATAATTTTCAAAATTCTTTTGATTCTTTTCTAATTTCTTATTCAGCTATTTTATATATTCAAGACTCTGGCCATTTATTTTTAAATTACCTGACAGGGAATGTATAAGCTTTCCTGGCAACTGATTCCCCTCCCCACACCCCCTGCCCCCAAACCCTCAATCTCATTTAGTCTCTTTGGAGTTGGGGATGAAATATAACTCTCTCTGGAAATGCACAAAATACAACTAGTACTTCAAAAGCACTTCACCACATAAAAAGGATTTAGTTAAACCGAGGTGATGGGGCAAGAGGCACAACATAAACCTCAAGATTTAGAGTTAAAAGATCCCAATTCAAATTCCATCTCTAACTCACTACTAGCATGATCTTAGGTAAGTTATTTCACCTCCCTGGGCCTCAATTTCCTCATCTGCAAAATGCAAAGGTTGGACCAGATGACCTCTGAGGTTCCTTCAAGCTCTACATCTATGGTCCTATGACCTCTCTACTCTATGTAAATCCTCTCTTCTGCTTCAGTCCAGTTAGTTTGTAAAGGAGGGAACTAGCATCTAAGGGAGCACCTTGAATGGCCTCTTAGACAACTGGGGAATGGCTGATCAAATTGTGTTACATGAATGTAATGCAATTTTGTTGTGTTGTAAGAAATGATGAAGGAGAAAATTTCAGAGAGTCCTAAGCAGTAAAAACCGACAGTGAAATGAACAGAACCAGAAGGATAATTTATACAAAAACAAAAAAAAAAAAAAAAGAAGAAAAAAAAAGACGACTCCAAAGGGTCTATAATAAGGCAAGATACTCCTCTCTTGGCAGAAGTACAAACACAAAGTGCAGAAACATACCTTTTGAGACATAGCTAATTTGTGGATTTATTTTGTTTGACTTTGCTTATTTGTTACAAGAAGTTCTTCGCATTTCCTTTCTTTTTCTTTGTGAAGTGAGTGGAGAGGTTTATGGAAAGGGAAGGTAAACAACAGTGATGCCAAAAAGAAGGCACTGTAACACTTTAAAAAACACATTTACAATAGAAAAAAAGGAAATTCAGAAGGAAGCAGCACAGACAAGTAGGAGAATTTATTATATATTATTAAAATAAAAAATGGGTGGCATGAAATAGACATTTATAATTCTATAATTGTGCATTCTGCCATGCATATAGAAGTTCTGGGGGGTGTTTAAGTTCAGAATATATATATTTTTTAATTCAAGCCCCTTGAAATGTTCCCACTACCCACAATCTACTCCCCTCTCTCCACTATTCAAAATCTTTGTACTTCAGCCCACTGAAGGAAGACTAGTCTTCCCATCAACATTGAATTCTATAATATATCATAATGTACTGTCAGAAATCTTAGGGTCAGGGCATGTCCTGACTCTCCCACTATTTCTTCCATAGTCTTCCTATCCTCCTTTCTACCCCAGGCCTCCCTCCTGAGTGTCACTGTTTATGAGACTCCCATGCTTCAGGAAAAGGGCCAGTCTTGTCTCACTCATGGCTTCCCCTCAAGTCTTTTCTTATACTGCCTCATCATATGTTCCTTTCTTCCCTGTCCCACTCTACCCTCATGATCAAAAAAATCTACCAATTCATGGATGAGGTTGATATATCTCCTCCCATTTTTGCATGTACATTCCCAGAACACAGAACACAGCTTTGCCCAGAGTTAACTTAACTTTGGAGAGCTGGACCTTATTCAATTCAGGCATAGGGAAAAATGATACCAAGAAATGACAGGTTAGAATAGTCTGTCTGTTGGCAAAAGAACCTTTTCTCTTCATTCGTGCCCCAGCCACTCTTCTCTAGACTTTTGACATCACCTCTAGGAACGTCACCATCCCGCAAGATCACTTCCCCCGGGGAATTCATACCTCCTCAGAAGCCCTAGCCCCATGGATTCCTCCCTCTGATTGAATGGCTCCTTCCCGAACCTCCATTTAAGCAAGGGGCCTAGGCTGCCATGTCTTTATTTCCCCCCAGACTGCACTCCCCAAGCCTCCCTGCCTTTCAGCTTCCTTTTATGTGTTGTCTTTCTCCATTACATTGTTAGCTCCCTGAGGTTAGCGACTTTTTCTTTTTTGTATTCCCAGCCCTTAGCACATTTAAATGTTTATCCTTAGCACATTTAATAAATATTCATCAACTGAGGACTGACTGTCCAAGTTGGTTGAAGTACGAAGTATATAGACTGGATCTACGTGACAGAGTAGTTAAATGCAAAGCAGTTTGGGAGGGAGGGCACTAGCAGTGGAGGGAAAGTCAGGAAATCTTCATGTAGAAGATGGTGCCTGTGTTACATCATAAAGGAAGAGACTCCTATGACACCGAGTGAGGAAGGCAGCACATTTCAAGCACAGGAACAGCCAGTGTAGGGTGATGGGGGGGTGGGGTGTGTATCATGAGTGAGTGAGGACTAGAAGGACCAGTTTGGCTAGGTCACAGAAGAGACTGTAGCTAATTTCTCCTTCTAGTTCTCACTTGATCTATGCAGTCAGAATTTCATTCTCTGGAGCACCCCATCCTTTTTGAGCTGATTTTCTCTGTAGGATCTGAAACCTAGAATCCTATTTTTTCCTCTTAACTCACTGAAACCCACTCTCCCCAACTCTAGAGTGAGACTATCATCAGGATTCTTTTCTTTATATTCCATGTTATCTATTTTAAAGGCTGTTATATGAAAAAAGGTTTGGATTTGTTCTGCTTGACACTAGGTAGCTCCTAGAAATACCAGATTTTCAGTTACCCAAGGATTTCAAGAGAATAATGGATGACCACTCACTGGTGATGTTGTAAACAGAATTTTTGTGCACGTATAGCTTGTACTAGCAGCCTCCAAGATCCCTTCCAACTCTGAGAATCTGTGATTGTGACCAGTAATATATGTGCTTTGTAATTTTTTTAAGTCA